CCAAAGTTTAGGGAAAAAATGTTGGAAACCTTACATGAGTGTCATCCAGGTGTAGTAAGAATGAAGGCGTTAGCAAGATCTTACCTTTGGTGGCCTGGATTGGACTCCCAAATTGAAAAGGCAGTAGCAAGTTGTGCACCATGCCAAACAAACCGACATATGCCACCTGAGGCACCAACTCACCAGTGGGAATATCCAAGGGGACCATGGAGACGAATCCATATTGATCATGCAGGACCAATCAATGGGACTTACATGTTGATCGTTGTCGACGCTTATAGCAAGTGGCTGGAAGTAAGAAGAGTACCTTCCTTATCATCCACAGCCACAATCAAGGTATTAAGAGAGTTGTTCGCTACACATGGTTTGGTGGATGATATAGTAAGTGACAATGGCACATCATTCTCATCTGAAGAATTTCAGGAGTTTGGAAAAAACAATGGGATTCGCTTAATAAAAGTGGCACCATACCACCCCAAATCAAATGGACAAGCAGAGAGAATGGTCCAAGTGGTAAAGGATTTTCTAAAGAAGGCACCACTAAATGACAGAAGTCTAGCTAGATTTCTGTTGGCACATCACACGACACCAAGCACTGTGACTGGACAAAGCCCATCCGAACTCCTAATGGGAAGAAAACTAACCACAGCACTTGACAGAGTAAAACCCAATCTTGTGCGCGAGATGGATTCCAAACGAGAGCTTCGTAGTGACCATGGTCGCGAATTTTGTGAGGGGGATAGAGTAAATATTCGCTCGTATTCGGCGGGAGATAAGTGGATCGCGGGACAAATAAGTGAAAGAACGGGCCCGGTCTCGTATAAAGTAGAGACTCCGGCTGGAAAAATGGTGCGCAGGCATTCAGACCAAATTGTAAGTGCTTGTGCGCGTAAAAGTGACGTGGGTGAGCCTAGCGCCCCACAGACTGAACCAAACGATGGTTTAGCGGAAGAGGAAAATGTGCAATCAACGCCCAAAATGGCGTTGCAAGAGGACGCCACTATCGCAGAACCGACTTAACATCTCAGAACGTCCACCAGAGCACGCCGTGCTCCACAGTACTTAGGGGATTATGTTCCTGAATAAAAGGGGAGGAATGTTGTATATGTAAAAAGAGCCACCTAGCGGCGCATTGTAAAATAAAGTAGTTAGTAGTACGCAGCGATACGAAATGCACGTATGTAATTTCGGGTAGCTTTTTCTTTGTAACGAAAACTAATAAATACTGTTCAAAGTGATAAAAGTGTTTTGCTTCAAATACACAACAATTACTTTAATTTTTATATGTGTAACTTTAATCAGTATTTATTATTAAGAATATGATTTTTTTAATTTGTGTTATATATTATGTTTATATTATGTTTTCAATCATATTTATGACTAATTACTTTTTGTTAAACTTGTTTTAAAATGTAAATTGCATAGTAAGAATTTGGAAATATAATGAATTCCATGTATTTACTACATCTTGTATCATTTACTTCCCTTAAATATTCACTGCTCTGTATCTCAAAAAGTACTCATCCAATTTTGATTAAATTCAGCGTGGACTCATCTAAAAATACGTGCTGTAGATCAATAACAAAAACTTATAAGTCTACGAAAAAAACAGTGAGTTCAACTTTTAAATTTCAAAAAATTTGAAAATTCTACTACGTAAAACCAATATGTCGACAAAACTTGGTAAAAATACCTTTTTCTATTTAGTTTAACCTATTACACATTTTTTATCATGTCTCCTACTAAAAGAGATAATAAAATAATTTTGGCCGCCTAAGTGACCGAATTCTACCTATGTGCATCGCCAAAACGTTTTTAAGGTATTAAGTAATTAAAATGTAGCTAATAATACTTTTAAAACTTAAAAATACCGTATACTTCTATTTTAAATGAAAAAAATTTAAATTGTTACATATTTATTTCTGCTTATTAATTCAAATCAATAAAGTCAAAACTTCTTGGCAAGTAGAACCAGTCTGTCTGAAGCCCTTTTTAAGTGCATCATGGTCAGAGACCAGGGTATCCCTCGGGCTATCAATTATTTTCTCGGAAAACACCACAAAAACGACACCAAATTTACAAAAAAAAGTCGAAAAGCAACCCTGCACACTAGTGACAAGTTAAAGCAGCTGCTTTAACTTGTCACTTGAGTTGTTGAACGTCGAACGGGAACATAAAAAATAAAAACCGCCTCGATTAGTAATAGCATTTAACCAAATTCAAAATAGAAGAACAAAAATGGCGTAGGATGTCTGCAATAATTGCAGTGCAATCTGTATTTCTTTACGAGTTATTTAAGAATTGAGAAAGACATATCGCTTGGTGAAATAGTGCTCAAAAGGTTAATAATCATTTGGAACTTTTTTTAAAAGGATTGAGAATTCTCAATCCTTAAGGTTCCCAAATCATTAATAATTTTTGAGCACCATTAAAAATGCCCATCATCGTTGTCAAAACTCATAATCCTACATTAATGTTGTTTCTATTACAAGAAAATTCACTATTTATCAAAAAATGAAAAAAAAAATAAGCGACCTATAAGATAAAGATATCTTTAAGACGTCTATTAAAAGACGTCTTTCAGACGTTGTGTGCTATCTGAGCTTAAGCTCGCGTTTATAAATTAATTTTTCATTAAGTAATTTATTTATGAATTTGAAAAAAGATACCTAATTTTAATTAAAATCTTTCTATAAATGTAGACAATATTGTCACAAAAACTAAAATAAATTACTTAAAGTAAAGAAAAAGATCTTTTGGATTATTACTTATTTACCAAAATTGTGACTGCACAATTTTGGGTATTAATTATTAAAAAAAAAAACTACATAAATAACAGCTGTTATAAAATTAACAACTTAACAATTGTAAACAATTGTAAGCACTAAAATTTAAGTATATTTACCTGCCATTACCTGCCATTAAAAATTTTTAAGAAACACAATATAGTTCAACAACTTTATTTAAACTAAACGTGTTTATTATTATATACAGGGTGTCTTAAAAGTAAAGGACTGCAGAAAAGGGGTGGATATATCCATATATCCATATATCTATAGAGGATGGAATTCTAAGTCGATCGAATAGTCTTTGTCGTTTTTTGATCAGACGCACCATTAATAAGTTATTAATAAAATAAAGTAGCCAATCACAGGCGTGCTCTAACAGAATGTGCGCGCAAAAATGGGCTCACGCACTGACCAAGCCCACCTCGCTTCGCTCGGCCTTCATTTAAATTTATTGCTGCGAAATGATAAGTTTACAAGCCTAGGCGGACTTGGTCAGTGCCTGAGCCCATTTTTGGGGGCGAGCTTGGTCATGACCGGAGCTCAATTTAAAAAAAAAATTTAATTCGATTTTGTCACGTGACGTTTTAAAAAAAACCTCGCCCCTTGTCATGACAAATCTTGACGGTCCTGTAAAACCCCCCTCCCCCTTCCAGTTTCACAAGATTTATGGACGGCCCCTCACGGAAAGAAAAAAGATAGAAGGTTATGTCAATAAATACATATTAATAGTATATTATTATACGAGAGATAATGCAGGCTATTATGCACAAGGATGAGGTTTGCCCACCCAACCAATTCCTTGTCTATGGTATAAAGTATAGTTTTTATTTACTTAGTTTATAGTTCTATAATCCATAGGACAGATTATATTTATAGATAAGATCTATAAATAAACTCCTTATTAAAACTTTATATTGCGTATATCATGCAATCCTGGTTGCATATAAAATTTCCCTAAACAAGGTAAAAAAATTACATCCGGCAACATTGCTTTAAATCTGACATTTCAATGAATGATTTCATGCCAAATAAATACAAAAAATTGGTTAAAAACAGGGATGCCAGAATCTGTCAAAAAAAACCGCTAGATTTTGTTTGAATCCACCTTAATCACAAAAATGACACATTGATACAATGAAAATTGTCAATTTGACGTTATTCATTATTGTTAATTCGTCACCTGAGAATTATAGTGTTCTATCTGCATTTTCTTTTTTTTATTCAGGATAGTCTTGTTTTAAGTCTTAAAGATGATATTGATCTATCTATATATAATTGGGGTAGAAATTGTAAAGTTTAAGGTTTAAACTGTACAATTTCTACCCCAATTATATATAGATAGAACAATATGCATCTTTAATACTTAAAACAAGACTAACCTGAATAAAAAAAAGAAAATGCAGATAGTAACACACTGGCGGCTAGTCGTACCGATTCCACTTTGATTCCTCGATCCCCGCATGCTTCACACGTCACACACTGTAAACTGGTATTATTTTCAAAACAAAAGGAATTATTCAATAAACTCGGTAGCTCCGATGGAAGAGCGCCCGCTTTGTATGCGAGATATACCAGGTTCGATTCTTGGCGCCTACAACTTTTTTTTTTTATTTTTATTTATATAGCGAAAAGGATTATTATTTAATTTTACATTAATATTCATTTTGCTACAGTTATATAATATAATATGTAATTATATGAATATTCCTTCGTTGAAAAATTGGGCGGGGGGGGGCCAATGGGGCGGGGTCGGTTGGGTCGGGTTGTTGAGTTTGGATTGGTTTCGAAGCTTCGCAAGAAGTAATTTTATACTTAGATTATTATAATAAACCCTACATTAAATGTCCGCGTGAAGATTGTAGATAACAATAAAAGTGACAGAACACTACCGCGCATGCGGGGATCGAGGAATCAAAGTGGAATCGGTACGGCTAGCCGCCAGTATAGAACACTATAATTCTCAGGTGACGAATTGTGTGATTTTTTCATTTAAACAAAAACTAGGGGATTTTTTGACAGATTCTGACATCCCTGGTTAAAAATAACGTTTTTAAAGTTATTTATTAATTTATTCAAAACTACTGAAAAACCCGCATTTTTTATTTATGATATTTATTATTTAAAACACCCTTTTTCTAATGGTTTCAATAAAAAAAGGAAATTCAGAGTGAGTTAAAGGCGACCGGAAATTTTCTTTCAAAATACTGTTGGCAACACTGTGTAAACCTAACCTAAAATTAAATTCAACCCATAAAATTTATAGCATAAATCTGAAATCGTTCAATTTTAACTAAATAAATGTCTTTAAAAGCTGCAACTAAAGTTTCAATGCTTTTGGGACAATGTGTTCCCTGCTTAAAGCAAAATACATCAAAATTTAAGGTTAAAAGACTAGAATTGGATGAAAATTTACTCATGGTAAGGTTTTGCATTTTATATTAGCATTTTTTGATTTACATAATTAAATTTCTCAGTATTTTAAAAAAGATGAATTTGTCTACGCCCACGACCCAGAAAATAAATGTAAAACCGGCGATATTGTCTTAATGGAACAGTTGCCACAAAAAAAGACACGTTTAGTAACCCATGCAGTAAAAGAAGTTATTTACCCATTTGGTGATATTACCGATCCACTTACAGGCAAAAAAGTAGTAGCTGGCAAATATAGGGACCACATAGAGGCAGTTACAAAAGTATATGGTCAAACTAAGAATGGATTTAAATATGATAAAGCACCATTAAGAGGTTGGCAAGAAAATAAAAAAGATTTTACACATGCTGATACTTATATTAAGTACCATGATGATGGTAAAGACCAACCATATGCTGTTTAAGGGTTGGATGTAAGTAATTAGGGTAGTGTAAATAAATGTTATAAAAAAATGTTTGAATGAGGTTTTTATTTTACAATTATGTACAAAAATCTTGAAATTGCTAATGAAAATTATTTAAGGACAATCAATTATTGGTAAGTAGGAAGTTGATGGAAAAGTTATTTTTGCAAAAAAAATATTTTGTACAATTTTATTTTTTTGAGGTAGACAATTTCAAATTTGAGAAAAGGATAAAATAATGTTTATCTTCAATATCCTATTAAAAATTTAATGGGTTGGGTGACAATGTAAAAAAGAACATACAAAAATGTTGTTTAATAAGAAAACATCCTATAGCTTATAAGCTACTGATTCAACAAAACAATGTTACAAATTTTTAGTTACAATTTGTAAAAACGATTTAACAACTTAACACTATTGGTGTGGCCGGTAACTTTTAACATTAAGTGAGTCACTCATCACTCTAACAATAACCTGAGATCTTAAAATTACATTTCAGTTGACATTGATTATTGAATTAAATTGTAACTGTTTAACATCAACTGTATTATTATTATTTATCATTACTTTTTGTGTATATTACTTATATATTTCTATAAAACTTAAATTACTATATAAATACAATTGATCAATATAATTAACAAAAAGATATAGAATGTACAATTTTTTCAAGATATTTTAGTGCATCAAGCGTAAATTTCTTAAATTTATAAATAATAATTTTCATTTGAAATTAGGCAATTGTGCCTCATAGATAGAAGGTCACTGAAATGGTTAATAACTTTTCTTCTCCCATGTTTAAAACACACATTATTAAGGCACGCCGTTTTACTTTTTAATGACATAAAAAAATTAACTCAAAACAAAAATTACCGAAATTAAAAATTGGCTAGAAAATATAAACATTCATAAAAATTACTGAAATAAATTTAATTATAAATTAAAATCTTCCAATTTATTTTCGAGCTTATGTACCTTCGACTTTATGTGATTTCGCTTGGTCGTCACCCTAATATAACAAGGTTGTAAGTTAAAAAAACGAAAAATTTGAGTTTATGCTTCTACAAGGTTTTATGTAATCCACCCTTGACAATAACTCTATATATATATGTATACATAGAATATACATTCTATAGAATTATTTTTAAGTGGTCCTGTAAAAACATATACTTAAATTTTTCGTTTTTTTTAACATACAACCTTGTTATATTATTCACTTTAATTTCTAACAGCCTGTTAGCCATTTAAATCAAGGTGCGCAACATTTATTTAATGTATGTATACATAGAATATACATTCTATAGAATTATTTTTAAGTGGTCCTGTAAAAACATATACTTAAATTTTTCGTTTTTTTTAACATACAACCTTGTTATATTATTCACTTTAATTTCTAACAGCCTGTTAGCCATTTAAATCAAGGTGCGCAACATTTATTTGAGAAAAAGTAATACTGAAATTATCATTATGCAATTATTTTCAATTATTACTCGTCGACATAAAAATCAATTTACCTGTTAGTAACAGGTAAATTGATTTTTATGTCGACGAGTAATAATAGAAAATAATTGCATAATGATAATTTCAGTATTACTTTTTCTTAAATAAATGTTGCGCACCTTGATTTAAATGGCTAAGAAATTCGATGAATTAAAATTTTGGTTTACATAATTTCAATTTGACTGCGTGTTTCTCCAAGTAGCGCCTTAATAAAATTATCTCAACCAAAATTTTAATTCATCGAATTTTTTAGTCAGAAAATACGCCATTCAGTTCCAGAATTAAAATTACTAATTATTATTCTGTGCTTAAAATTGTGTACTTAATATACCAAAACATAAAAATTTTACTTTAAAATGTTCAGTCAATTTTTAAAAAAGAAACTTGAATTAATATTTAGCTTTAATAAACATGACATTAAAAAGTAAAACGGCGTGTCATACATTATCATACACAAAGTGATATTTGAAATTCCTAGTAAAGTCAACCTTATATGGATCCGCAAAATTCTTTTGTTTATTCTTTTGTTTTCCTCAAAAGGAAAAAGGAAAATTTGAGCCGGCAGAAATAACGTTTATTTTTTTGGAAAATTTTCATAAAAATTGACTTGCATTTTTTTCATTTTATTCAAAGGGTAATAAAAAAAAATGCATGTCAATTTTTCAAAAGACTTTTTGATATGAAGAAAAAAGTAAATTTTCGGATTATAATCCTATAAAATAATAAATCCTATAATAATATTAATTATTTGTAATAATTAATATAATCATATTATAGGATTATAGGATAATATTCTTACTGAATTAAAATAATAGGAATAAATTGTATTCCTACTATTTTAATTCAGTAAGAATATTCTACCGGGCCGCAAAAAAGAACAAATTTGGTGCTGTATTAACATTACTATCGTTTTATTTCACACATCGATTTATAAAATTGTAATTTTACTTACTTAAAACATTTATTATTTTTCAATGGTTTCCTTTTTGCAAAAAGTATATTTTAATGTTTACATTTATTTTCTTAGATCAATTAAATTTAATGTTTAGGTTTTTTCTGCAATAAAGGATATTTTTTTTTATTAAAATATTGTCAAGTTGTTGATTGCTACTTTTATTAAAATGTGTATACAGGGTGCACTAAGTATCCTTCTAAGTATGGGTATATTTTTTATTTAAAGAGCTACAAGATTGGTTAAAATAGACAAAAGTTGCGTAATTACAAGTCTATTAAAATAGCATTTAAAAATTGGAAAAAATTTGAAAAAAACTGAAAACATGTCAAAACCAAAAAATCTAGTAGGCGAAAAAATCAGAAATTGTATGAGGATGTGTATGTTTACATGTAATACTTACTTTGTTTCAAAATTCACAGGAATAACAAAGGTTTTGAAAGGTCTTTAGTTTTTTTTAAATATTTTGAGAACCGCTGGCTTATTTTTCAATATAAATTTTATGTTAATAGGCTTGTAATTAGGCAACTTTTCTTTAATTTAAACGACCTTGTAGCTCTTCAAATTAAAAAATACACATAAAAGTATACACATAGGATACTTGGTGCCCCCTGTATTCTCAAAAACAAAAAACATTTTAAATCCTATAAAGAACCTTATAAGATTGATGACTTTTGTAAGATAACCTTATAAAGAATTTTAGTGAACCTTATATCTCCAAGGGTGGTCAAACAATTTTCTGTGGAGTAGTTTTTGCACTGGGTTTTAAAGATTTGTAATTCCTTATAAGAATCGTTATACTTTTATTTTTTATAAGATATGACTTAACTAGGTATTCACATTGAGAAGATACGACTTCGTGCGTTTTAGTCATGGTACAGACGACGGGTTGTAGGCTTTTGTTACGGGCTAAATTTAGTTGTCAATTGTAATACAATCTTTTTGTCCTAGAAAAAGTATATTATGTAATTGAATTCTTTTTATAAACTTCTATAGAAACTCGTTTATTAAACACTCTCCCGCACGTGCCTTATTAAACCTCGTTTATAAAACTTGTTGCATAATGTTCTATTATAGTAATCAAATTTTAAAATGTAAGTTATGGTGTAAGGAAATAATGAAAAAATTTAAATCACAATATGAAATATTGCTTCTTTTCCTCATCCTAAATCATCCTGTTTACAAGTCTCTTGTAATGTTAATTACTATTAAAAGTTTACCTTAAGTTAATAAAAGAGTTCTTACTTATGTTCAAATATTTTTAAAAGAACCAATACCTTTTAGCAACATTTATATTTATTTTGAAAAAACTGCTACTAACAGTTACTAAGAATATAACAACAAAATTATTCACAAAATTTGTGATCAGTTGTAGACTATTGCCTTACTTCAAATGTTATGAGTAGTAGGAAAAATTATTGGTATTCCCTTGGTGAAAGACTAGTTACTTATTCCTGACCACACCGACCAAATCTACAATAATTTAACTATTCGACAAAAATTCTCTTTCCAAAGCTGCCCCCATCATATTCCATTCCCCGTCGTCGCCTTCATTTGGTTCAATGCTGCCTTCGCTTCCCTGCGATTCTTCTGGTTCTAATTCTAAATCGCTGTCCAGTTTTTCGCCTCTCCTAAACTTTGCGCTGATCGTTTCCTCTTCATCGGCGCTGTTAATCACGTCATCCAGCTTGGAGTTGTCTTCTTCTTCGAAGTTCGGCCGTTTCCGTTTGTAGCCTTTCGGGTATTCGCCGGTCAGAGATTCTTCGCTGCTACTGCCACTCGATTCGGAATCATCTTTTTTTAGTATCGGCGTTTTTTTAGTGGTTGCATCTTCGTTGTCGCTTGTGTCGCTTTCGTCTGATAGATCTTCATCTACCTAAGAAAGAAATTTAAGCTTTAGCCACAAAACTAGTATTCCAAACAGGTGCATTTTAAACAAAATACAAGATATAGCCGTCACAATAGTGTTTTACTTCACATATGGGGCAAAACACGCCAAGTGTTCCCACTAAAAAGTTGTTTCCGATTACTTTAATTAAGCAAAAGGGCAGCGGAAAAGACTGACGGGTTGCAGATATACATATATACAGGGGTTGGTTGATAAAAAATATATAAATGAAAATAATTTTACTTTTTTTTTAAATGGTACCATTTTGATTTTTAAAAAATAAGTACCAAAAAAAGCCTATTTTTTTCCCTAAATTTTGATAGATGTAGACGTTTATGGAGAACGGCAAAAGATTTCCAATTGAAATTTTTATAGCAATTATAATATCATTTAAACTATTTTTCTAAATTATTTTGAACAAAATACCTCTTCCGGTTTTAACGGAAGCGACATCAACTTTGTTATTTTAAATGGATCATCACAATTTTTTTTACATTTCTAAATTCCTACCATCATTCCTTGTAAAATGGCTATACCATGTCCTATACCTAAACTTAATAGTTTTTGAGTTATTAATTTTTTTTGTAAAATTCGGTCAGTTTCACCCTCAACAAAAAGAGCTTATAACTTTTTTATTATTAGGTTTGCTAATATTCGGTTGGATTTATTGGAATCCTAAAGAATTCTTTTAAAGATTCCATGTAATTTATTTTAATATTTTTAAAAAGATACTTGATAAAAAACAATGTGAATGTAGCTAACTTAAAACAGCAATAACTTTTTTATTTTCAATGGAACGCCCTGTATATTTTTACATAATTAAATATGAAATTATAATACCTTTTCATTGGTATAACTATTCCCTATACCTAAAGTTAAGAATAACAAAGATATTTTACAATTCCTACTATTTATTATGTATTTTAAATTTTTAAATATTGGTTTTAAACATTACAAGTGGAATCTACGAATGAGTTTCAAAAATCATATGACAAAAAATAATATTAATAAGAACAATATTTTTTCGGTCTTTGTAAATAAAAGCACTCTCTAAAAATGAATTAGTCAAAAATGACTTATTTAATAGTTATTAGTGGCTGCTTTTTCACTTGTACCATGGTTAACCAACGTATACCATGGTATCCCAAAATTTAACAGTCAATTCTTACATAATTATGTAAAATTGTCCCCTGAATCCAAAAGTTAAAAAAGTAGAACAGTTTTTGAGATATAGAACCTTCATTAAAAGATATATTATTATTTACTAATAAGATTAGAATAACATTAATTAAATAAAAGTAATGTTTTAAATTAACAAAAATGGAGGAAAATCACTATTCAAATGAAGTTTTTATGAACTTGTTTATTCTTCATTAACAATATGACAAACTTATTGATAGAAAATGCAGAAACTTTTTGTATGTTGTACCTTTAATTTGGTTATCCATTAAGCATAAATATTTTCAACTTCTTTTGAGTACTTATTTTCCTTTATTTTAATAATAATAAATATCGGGAAAGTTTTGTAATTCATACCAAATTAATACACATAAGCAACATTTTTTTAGTTTTTCTTCATATTATTAGGTTAATTGTAAAATATCTTTCTTAATATTAACTTTAGGTATAGGGAATAGTTATATCAATGAAAAGGTATTATAATTTCATATTTAATTATGTAAAAATATACAGGGCGTTCCATTAAGAATAAAAAAGTTATTGCTGTTTTAAGTTAGCTACATTCACATTGTTTTTTTACAAGTATCTTTTTAGAAATATTACAATAATTTACATGAAATCTTTAAAACAGTGCTTAAGGATTTCAATAAATCCAACCGAATATCAACAAACCTTATATTAAAAAAGTTATAACCTTTTTTTGTTGAGGGTGAAACTGACCAAATTTTACAAGAAAAATTAATAACTCAAAAAGTATTAAGTTTAGGTATAGGACATGATATAGCCATTTTATAAGGAATGATGGTAAGATTTTGAAATTGTAAAAAAAAATGTGGCGATCCATTTAAAATAACAAAGTTGATATCGCTTCCGTTAAAACCGGAAAAGGAATTTTGTTCAAAATAATTTAGAAAAATAGTTTAAATGATATTATAATTGCTATAAAAATTTCAATTCGATATCTTTTGCCGTTCTCCATAAACGTCTAACCTACCATCGACCGTGATACACCCTGTATGTACAGTGTCCACGGTTGGACTAAACTATACTTGTAAAAATATTTATTTTCAATTTTTCGAGGAAAAGTCATTTTTTATAATTTCTTTTGCTTGTTATATAAATACGATTCGCGTTGAGAAACATCCATGTTGTTGTACAGGGTGAGCAAATATACCGATTTTCAAAATTAAAATTTTATAATATTTTTTTTGAAGCGCTTATAAAGAGCTGATAAGGAGATTATCTTTATTGTTAAGGCATTGATGTTATTAATAAACACATTGAATTTATGAATACTGAAATTAAAAATTAAATAAAAATTTAAAAAAAATCATTTTTGTAGAAATACGATAGCAATAAACTATCGTAGTGTAAATTGACCTTAATTGATTAGGAGCTATAGTTGTCGCGGCGAATGTTTCAAATTGCGTCATCAAATTCTGAATCAAGGACAGACATTACAATTATTGTTGTTTTCTTTTACATATCTGTACCTCAGATTAGATTTCGAGCAGTTTAAAGATCTAAAACTGGAAAATTCATCTGCATTGTTGTTTAAAAGCTCGATTTATATGAAACCCACAGAAAATACTTTGTTCCATAAAAACTTAGCTTTAAATAATAATGCAAAAAAGAGAATGCCGCATTTCAAATCTATCCTTCAAAAGTCAGGTTTTTGGACTTGGCCTACTCTGGCTCTGGGGACAGATATATAATCCAAGGAACCGCTAGGTTAACCGTATGTAGAGAAATCAATTTTTGACATTCCACATTGATGACGCAATTTGAAACATACACCTAAGTGAGGGTGGTCAGTGTTTTAGGTTAAGTATTTTTAGTCAGAATTTCTGACATTATTTTTAGTTTGTCACACCTCTACTAATTCTGTTAAAGCACGCCTGTGATTGGTTACATTATTTAATTAATAAGATAAAAAACGCCAAAGGACTTTTGGTCTTCTTTTTGGCTCTACTATACGCCCTAGAAATAATTTAACCTGTACAAAAAAAAACATATTAATATTACAATATATTAAATTAAATTAAAACTAAAAAAGTACAAAAAAAAACTAAAATAAATATTCAAAATTAACATAAGTTATCTAGATTTCTTAGATTATTTACCCTAATATTCAAACATCGTAAAATAATCGTATTCGATAATGGGCCAAATCAAAACATACTGCCGATTTAACCACAAATGGCCAATAACTGCCACACTGCTATATTTTATAAAATATCATGATAAAATATATATTTTGTGCATTTTTTAAATTTTAATGTTTGCTATTGTTAAAATTAAAAAAATTAAACCTTTATTGATTTATTCATCTTCAAAGTTACATTACACTGGTTAGGTAACTTTTAAAACATATAAATATATATGAATACTAAGAATCTTTTTCATGGTTTCTTTTTAAATCATTTTAAATTCCCTGACTTTTACAGGTTTTTTTGACCAAATTCCTTAAAATTACAGATAAATAAACGAAATAAATAAAAACAATTAGCGCCCAAAGTAGGGCCCTGACAGAATAACGGTTAAGTAAAAAGTATTTATTTTTGTTAACTTTTATTTATAGTTCCGATAATTCTTGTTAAAATTGAAGACGACTTGCAACAAAAAAGTGTCAGTAAACAAGCTGCGGTTTTTAAATTTTAAAAGTTTAATTTTTAAAACAGAAACGCTTACATTTCCTTAAATTTCTTTTATGAAGATATTATATATGTTCTGCCTTTTGCTTCCCTGACTTTACTCGACTTAAAACGGATTCCCTGACTTTTCCAGGTTTCAAGGATTTCCAGGCAAGAGGGATCCCCATTTTTTAATCATTTATTGATTAAATATATTTAAAAAACTTGTTATATCTAATTCAGAGTAGAATTAAGTCCTCTTATATAGAAAATATATTAAATCATTTCATTTAGTATTTTTTCTATTTATTTATTAACCCAAAAAATTACAAGGAATTTAAACCAGTTTTTTAAATACAACTACAGGTTGTATAATTTTTTTTAAATTATATGTGACCTGCTCCGTTAAAAGAAACCTTAGCGTCCAAAAATCGATGTCAGGATTATGATTGTTGTAGATTTATTAAAGATTGCAAATATAAGGGTCGTTCCACGCCAAACGACCACTTTTGAACACTACCCTTTAGAATTGGATGAAATTTTTTGATATTTTTCTGTCCCACTAAAAATGTTTTTCAGAATTTTTTTAAATTATTTAACCAACCAAAAAAGTTTTTTAAATACCCATAACTTTTTTAAAAATTGACATTTACACCCTGTATATTTAAAAAAATTTAATCAGAGTTTTTTCAATAAAAATCTCACGTCAACTTTTGGGTTTAAAGAATATGTATTATAATTCAAATTTGTCAAAAAAAGTAATCAATTTTTATTTTTTGGGTTTATCATGTTGTCCGCAAAGAAAGTTTAATGGCTAGAATCTCACGTGAGGTATAGGGGGGAGTCTACCACATCTCACCAAGGGGGGGAGGGGTCCAAATTATCAGAAAAATGCCTCACGTAATTAATGGATGTCCCCTAAACCAAGCACGTATTTGTAATTTACGACCAAAAATTAAGTTTACGCGTCCGAGCGTTTAGCTGTGATATTTTTACCTCCACAGCAAACGGAAAATTATAGAGGTGTATAGGATGACGCCACGTTTGAATATCGATTTCTAAATCTCCCTACGGTATAGAGTGGTATTCGTCAGTCGAGCGTTTCAATACTCTCCACAGTATAGAGGTCGTAATTTCACTTTTGAACTAGTTTTAATATAAAAATTATTTTATGCT